CTGGGTAAATCAGTCTTGCAAAAATATTGCTACGCTCACCAAAGCCTATTTTGGAAAATCCCAGTATGAGGATGGCACCAATGTTGTTGTTAGTTGCGAAATCATGTCCGACCCATCACAACCCCATGGACAACACTCCTCCAGGCCTTCCTGTCCTCCACCATCCCCTGGAGTCCAGCTAAGCTCACACCGACTGCTTCAGTGACTCCATCCAGCCACCTCATCCTCTGCCGTCCCCTTCTTCTTTTGCCATCTATTGTTCCCAGCATCAGGCTCTTCTCCAGGGAGTCTTTCCCTCTCATTAGGTGGCCAAAGTGTTTGAGTTTCATCTTCAGCACCAATACTCCTTTCATAGATAATTTTTGGAGGTGTGCGAAGTACAGCTTCTCCAGCCAGGTGGACAGACCAACACCCAGCCCGTGCTTCAGGACTGCTGAGCCTGTTAGTCTGAATTTCTGAGGTGCAGGTTCTACCTGCAGGTTTCCCATCATCATCATCATCATCATCATCATCATCATCATCATCATCATCATCAGGGGTGGGGGGATCATCATCTTTTGGGCATGCCATTTATGGCACCCATTTGCTAAGAACTGGCACATGGAGAATTCAGCTCACCATCAGTCAACAGTAAATATAGAGCAGTGTTTGTGTTTAGTGCAACTTTAGTGTTTCCATAAAGCTCTGCTTACAAATCCAATCAGTTTTGAGAAGAAAAGAAAAAAAGAAAATGCACAGGTAAGTTTTTGGGCCAAGGCATCTGTCCCTAAAATAGCCCATTAAGCAACACAAGGACCAAGCAGTGCTGGATAAGTGCAAAATAAACCAGCCTTTCATTACTGGGATTGAAAGATTTATCCGTGTGTCACACGAACGGGACATAAAGTAGCTTGCGTGGTGCATAAATGAGCAAGGAGTGCAAGGGGAAGAACCTCGAAAGCTCCTCCGGTCCCACCAGCCTCAGCCACCTGGTGGTATCTGGGTCCCTCAAAAGACAGCCCTTTCTCCCGGGCCACCCCTCACGCGTGGCTCCCCAGAGACTTGCACCTTCCTTCAGATCCATCCTCAGATCCCAGTTTTTCCATGAGGTCCTTCGGCCAACCATCCCATAGTTCCAGTCCCAACTGCAACTATGTCTAAAGCTGTGCCCCAGAATAGCTGCACCTTGTATCATGTGGTCCTGCTTGTGCTTGGTTCCCTCATGAACTGGAAGCTCCTCGGGGCAGGGATCCTGCATCCATGGGCCTTGTAAAGCACCATGTGCTTGGATGGTGCTGTGCTGCATGAAGATGTCCGGAAGCAGAGCAGATGAGCTGGGTGTCAGTTCAGCCTAGTGGCATCGTGGCACAACCAGTAACCTTACTGGGTGCAGAAGAGGGACCCTTAGAAGGAAAGACTTCCAAGCCTTGGAAGGGACAGAGTGCCAGGATTGAACAGCGTTCGCTCACGGGCCACCCGTGCACAGATCATTCCTGGTCCCCCCACTTGTCTTTATTTCAGCAGAACAATCGGGTGTCAGTGTGTGAATGTGCTATTGCTGAACAGTCGGGAGCCAGGATCTTCCCTCCATCACCGGGCGACCGACCAGTCGAGCGAGATCTACCCTCTGTTCTCGAGTGCTTGTAATGCTGTGCATGCTAACCAAGGAGCGAGTTCCGTGGGGCTTCACACCCGTAACTGGGGGAATACGAACTTGTGGGTGGCCACTGTGCGGGTGGCCACTCTGTGAACGGAACAGAGGACTGGGTGGACTTTTGCTCCTGCCCAGTGTGTCTCCTCTCGCGTTCCGGGTGTGGCAAGCTTTCCTTGCTCCTGAGATGACCCCCTCCTGTCCCCACTTAAGAGCCGCAGCTTACCGGGCAGCTGCAATTCCTGCAGGAGAAATAAGGTAGGCCTACGATCAGCCCCACCTCTTCTGCCCCCCTGATTCTTGTGACTTGCCTATATATCTATCGAGCAACAATGCACAGGCCTCTGTGTGGCCTTTATGATGCATCTGGCATCCTCCAGCTAACCTCTTTTCTGTTCAACCCTGGAAAAGGCTGCACTTCCGATGGCTGTGCTCTGCAGCACGAAGGGCAAGTGTCATTGAGCTGGCGCATGGGGCGCGCGCTGAGCCTGGGGGTCCTCTGCCATGGGGAGGAAAGTGCGTGCGAGCAGCTCTGGCTATCACGGCAAGGACCGCTTCAGTGCTCCATCCATCCCGAAGCGCCTTGGCAAAGCAGCCAAGCGCCACCGGATCAGTGGTGGCAATGGAAGGGCTTGGGAAGGACCAGAGGGCCAGCTCCTTCAGCTCCTGCTCTGATTGGTGTGCCATCCAGCCAATGACAGCGTCTGAAACCAGAGGCCACCTGCGTTCATCAGCATCCGCACGAGGCACATTGCTAGATTAGGGGAGATCCGAGTACCATGCCTTTAAATGTAGTGTTTGAAGCGCTGCGTTATTTAATTTAGTTTTGAATCCTTCCTTTCCCCCTCTTGGATTACTGATGTCCTATCTGTGCTCCAGTGTTCGGATGCTGCAACACAATCATGGGCAAATGTGGAAATTTGGGGCATTTTGCTCCTTCTGCAGGAATTCCAGCTACATTTACTCTGTTCATGGCACTTTTTGAAGCGTTTCTCCTGCCTTCGGGGATCAGGGCAGGCCGTTGGGTGGCAATCCATTTCCCCCCTGCACCGTAGTTCTCGGATGCGCCAACGTCTTGCCTTTGCATTGCGAAGTCTCTGTCTGAGGCTTTGGTTTGCTCTTGTCTTGATGTTGCCAGTATTCTTTTTACTGGTCTCCCAACTGCTCAGCTTCCTCCTCTTGATTTGTTTCCAGTGCCGCTGCTCATACAGGCTTCGCAGGTTGGGTCAGCCGGCGTGTGGGCTTCGGCACCCTTGCATGCACCCTTTGGCCTGCAAGCCAGAGCCCCTGCGAGCACGAACCGTCCCTCCTTCAGCCACCCACTGACTTGGAGGACAAGAGGGGCAGAAATGGGGCGGGCAGAAAAGGGGTGGCGACAGATGTTCCCACTTATGCAGCCCACAACAGATGGCCGCCAAGGGATTGCTGCCCTTCCACAAAAGGAGGCATTTCTCCCCTGTTGTAGGTGCTTGATCGGATCCCACATGGCCCTTCTGTTTTTCTCTTCACTGTTTTTCTCTTCCTTCTCCCTCTCCATGCTAATATTTTCTTATTTTCTGGGTTCAACACATGTCTCCGTCTCCGTCTCCATCTCCATCTCTGTCTCCATCGCCATCTCCGTCTCTGTCTCCTTCCGCTTCCCCATCTCTGTCTCCTTCCGCTTCCCCATCTCTGTCTCCTTCCGCTTCCCCATCTCTGTCTTCATCACTGTCTCCGTCTCCTTCCTCCCCTCTTTCCACCAAAAATAACAGTGCTCAAGGTGTCCACCAGGAATAAAGCCAAAATTAAAACCAACTGACTGAAACCATTATCAAAACAAATCGATGAAGGAAGCAGTCCTGTGCCTGTTTTGACGGAAAAGAGTCCTCCACCTCCCAGCCTGCCCCACCTCCCGGCCTGCCAGTGTCCTTCTTCACAGTCCAGAACCACAGGGAGATGCGAGCAGTACTATGTGCTTCTCCAACCCCAGGAAATGGGCACGGGGGCAGCGGAACCAGTGGGATGCGCTTTTGAGCAAGCCTGCACAGGATCGGGCTGTGGAACGCCAGACCTTCCAGAGAAATTCGTGGTGCAGCGGCAGCTCTACCAAGCGATTAGGCCTTCCCCAGAGAGCCCGAAAAGCTGCTGCTTGCCCTACTCCTTCCTTCTCTTTCATGTCTCTCCCTCTCTTTCCTTGCTTTAACCCCAACTATTTTAGGAGAGTTTTACGGCTGCAATTTGTTTATGAGCGTGGTAAACAGTCGAAGGCCGTGGAGGCATTTGCAGGCAGATCGATGGCCGTCAAGAGACAAGCTGGGCCTGGGCCATCAGGGTAGGACAGCGCAGCTGGTAGGCAGCAGGAGGATTGTCCTTTCCAGAGGTTACAGATGTGTGCGGGACATTATGGGAAAGTGTTTTTTTTAACAAGAGTAATTGGTTTATTCCTGAGGTAAGCTGTATAAATAGGAGGGGAAAAATATTTCCTGTTCCAAGGCAAATAACGAACTGGCAGTCCGTTGGCTTGGCTCCACGGAGCAGCAGAAGGCCAACAAGGATCACTGTTAGCTTTGCATCCTCCTCTTGCTCATGGTAAGAGAGAGCGCGACTCTTTGGCCGGCTGAATCTCCTTGCATTTTCTGGGAAATGTATATCTTTTCAGCTCATGCAACTGACGTGTGAGCAATGCAGGGGGCACATGGACGCATCACTGGAAAAGGAAATGCATCACCCTAAGACAGGACGGGGAAGGACACGGCTTTGTGTATGCTAATATGTGGAGATGCAAATCCAGAAAGAACTGTTATGCATCTTGCAGCCAGGTGGGTTGCAAGTCCATGCTGATTGGCAGGTTCTAGACCCTGCTGTTGATGGAAAAGCTCACTGCCAATGCATAAGTTCTAGGCCCCAGTGTTGGCAGACAAGTTCTAGGCCCCTAACATTGACAAACAAGTTCTAGATCCCAGTGTTGACAGGCAAGTTCTAGGTGCCACTGCTGACAGGCAAGTTCTAGGCTCCAACATCGATGGACAAGTTCTAGACCCCACTGTTGACAGGCAAGTTCTAGGCTCCACTGTTGATGGACAAGTTCTAGGCCCACTTTTCTTCTTGCTGAACATTCCTCATCTTTAAACTGGACCTGGTCAGTCATACAGGCAAAATACACCTTCAAAGGAGGTGTCCTTGTTACTGTAGATGGGCATCTTTTGAAATTCTTGGCACAATTTCCAGAATTCTTCGTCAATGAGACAGAAAAACTTTGTGATTTAGGAGCTTCAAATGTGGGAGAAAGGGAAACGGACAGTTTTGTCCATCAACCCAATTCTTTCTGTTTTTGCTTCCAGGGAAAAGTCTAGCTTGACTTGATCTGGGACCTGCTTGTTTGTCTTCCCAGGTATTTGCCAAGCTCTTCTCCAGCACCATGTTTTGAGTGCTCGCATGTTCTTCCTGCCTGCTTTCTTGACTGTCCAGCTTTCACACCTGTGCATAGTTCCCTGGAATCCAGGTGTGTGGATTGGCATCAAGGCTGTTCAGTGAAAAGGTAAGTCAAAGGAGACCTGACGGAGGTCCGCAAAATTATGTCTGGTGAGAAGCAAGCCAAAGCTCTCCAATCAATCTATAGCTGTGCATTGATACTGTCAGTTAATTACCCCATAACATGGGTATTGCAGTTCATGTCAGAATAATAATGCTTTAAAAATACAACCAAATAATAAAACAGCGAAGCCCAAGAGATCCTCCAACAAAGCATGAATTAAGTTAAACCCCAGCCACCACAAGGAGCCGAACTTAGAACAGCATCTCTAGTACAAAGCACTTAGATCTTTAGTACTAAAACCCTTGAAGTGCCTGAGAGAATAGGAAAGTCTTTGCTGGGGCTGAAAAGATTTGGAGGGGTGCGCAGGCTCAGGCCTGAAAGCAGTCTTGAGGTTTGCCTGTGTGGCATCTTCTCCCGCTGGCCATTTCTGCAACTTCTATCCCCTTGTTTTGAAGTGAACACAAAGGACACGTCAATGGATCCACAGGATGCTGGAGAGTAAAAAGCGGTTCCCTGCCGGGGTCCTTTATCATTCATTTGCTTTCTGAAGGCTAAGGAACACCAAGCAAGGGGAATACCCGGGAGCATTTCAACCCCAGACAATATATTGCTTTGTTTGGGAAAGGCTTCTTTACCCAGCCCATCTTCTGCGTTGCTTTCTAGCCATGCCATGGAGAATATCCCAGGCACAGAAAAAAGAGCAGAGGCACCGCTTGGACTGAGCCGGCTGGGACAATTAAGCGCCCAGGGGCTTCAGGAGCTCCTTTGAGCTGGCAGGGTGCCAAGGGAGAGTGGCAGGATTCCGCATCCTTTGCCAAAGGGACAGAAAAGCGGGGATGATTGGACGACTCTGTTCACTGGCGGAGCTGCCGAGGTGGAAGGGCCGTGCGGATGGGTGGATGGCCTCGCGGAGGGGAGAGAATCGGGACTGGGCAGCCATGAGGAAAGCTGTGCGGCTAATCTCTGGAGACATCCCTTTCTCAGGCCAGAGCCAAGCGCAGAGACTGGGCACCTGTTCTGTCCAGGTATATTTCCCAGCACCTATAGGTCAAACTGGGAAGGACTCCTTGCTCTGGAAAGCTGCACCTGCTTGTGTGGACGGTACTGAAGTGGATGCACTAGCTGAGTTCAAGACAGCATCCCTCGTTCCGTCTCGGTTTGGCCAGAGAAAGCATTTCATCAACGCTCCCTTGGGCGAGGAGAAGTCTTTAGAGGGGAGGGCTGCCCTGAGTATAGGAAGGGACACGGTTTCTTTCTGATTTTCCGAAGTCCACATCCTTCACCTTGCCTTGAAACCATTCCAGCAGCTGTGAGCTTGATCTCTGTTTGCCTCTGCAGCGTCCTGGCCCAGTTCTTGTTTGTAGAATTGTGTGTATTTCTTAACAAAAAACTTTCTGAGATGTTGGAGCTCAGCTATGGTTGAAAGTGATCCAAATGGGAACGGCATGGGTCGAAGAGGGGGAATTATTCCTGAGAGAATCGCACTAAGCTGGGACAAAGGGGTTTGGTTTGGAGGGTAGAACTTACAGGGGTGCAGAGGGAGAAGATGAGGGGTTGGGGAGGGGAGCAAGAATGGGGCACTTCAAGGAACTTTGGAAGTGCGAAGGAGGAGAAGGTGCTTGATAAGAGGAACCCATTGGGAATATCTATGAAGATACGGGGGAATATGGTCAAAGTGAAAGTAAGATGCCTCCACTATGGGGAAGGTCCTGGCAAAGCAGAGGCAGCAGAAAGGGCTGCTTTAGAGCCCATCTCACCCCCAAACGCTCCGGGCTTCCACTGAAAGTTGTCTTTGGAGAAGCTGCAGCTCAAGCTGAGGTAGCACAGAAAGACGAGTGAGTGAGACTCCAAGGTCTTTCCACTGGCCATCCAAAATCAGGATATCACAACGGGAGAGCCTTGTTCTAGAAGTTGTGCACCGCTTTTTGAAAAGGGGAGGCTGGCTTGTGGTGCCTGGGGTGATGTTCTGGCTCTCCAAGCAGCGACCTGGCATGGTCATTCTACAAAGAGGTGGTGCTGGGCCTGGAGCTCAGCTGTATCAGGATGGGGCAGTCTCCACACCACCCAGCCAATATTGGCTGAAGAAGATCCAGCAAGGAATTCTCTTTGCACCGACTGGCCAGAGTAGATTGGCTGATATTTCCGGGCTTCTTCAAAGGCTTCTGGGTCAGGTTTTGTTGACTGCATCTGTGTGCAGTTGCCCTGTGTGGTGGCCCGCGGAGCTGTGGGTGGAAGACTTTCTGTGAAGGACCATCTTTCAGGTACCGATGGACTCTGTCCAGGGAAAGGTGGCAGAACAGAGTAGAGCTGGGCAGCTGAGCTGTTCATGAACATTGGCTCGAGGTTTGGTAGGTTCCTTCACCCTTGCTTGGTCTCAGTGGGGTCCCTCCATAAAGGTAGACATGATGGGGTGCCCCCATCCTTTAGTAGATTCATCGTTATGGCTTTACTTGCTTCAAAAACTGGTAGACCTGCCCAACTACTCATTCTGCTGAATCAGGCACTGGACCTCTGGTCCAAAGTCCTGCCTTGATGCTTGGATATTTGCCAGTTCTGACCTTTTTTCCAGTCCATCTACCTGGATGGGCCTGGGGGGTCCCTGGCTCTCCTGAGACTGTTGTTTTGGCCCAGTCTGGCCCAGTTTACAGCCAGCTGTGGAACCCAATGAAAAAGAGGGACAGGGAAACGAGCCCGTGCCCCACTCTGGCTGCACCTGACAGGGAGCGACCCCTGCACAGGAAATGACATTTGTCCGAGTGTCGAAACGGTTCTGCTTAAAATGGCTCCAGATCCAGTCAATTTCACGCATGGTGTGGAGATGCCCTGGAGCTTGCCTCGTATTTTGCAAGGCCCGAGCAGGTGGCTTCGTCTGTGGGAAGAACTGGGGAGGAGGAAAGGATGGAAGAATCGGAGGACACTGTGAAAATAAAAACAACACATCAAGCACATTCGGGGGATAAAGGGGATCAGCGCTGCAGAAAAGGGAAGAATGAGTCCCAAAGCAAAGAATGTGGGGACAATTTGGACAGTGGAGGGTTATCTGTGTACCAGGGACCCCAGCGTGAGAGGGCCACCTCTGCAGGGCTGGCGTCGATTGCCATCTGGGGCATGCCACTCAAGCCCATTGTCCTCGTTGTTCTGGCCACTTGGAATGTCATCTCCCCGCAGTTGAATCTGTCCCTGCCCCCCCCCCCCCGGCTGCTACAAATCCGAAATCACCATGCAGCTTGAATTAATGGCCTTTTCTTACTGGGCAACAGTCTGGAACTGTCTGCCAAGTCTGGCAATAATTAACTGGGAGAGAGTTAGTGGCAGAAATGGCTTCTGCTTTGTAAGCCCCATGCCTCCGCTTTCTCTGCTGGCTGCCCCCAACCCAGCCTCGGCACTGGCCCACCTTTTATCTAGGAAAGGTCAAAGGGGCACGCGACCGGAGTTATTTCCTGCTCCTCCTCCTCCTCCCTTAACCCACAAGTAGACGCCGCGAGGTGCTATGGAGTGGGGCCTGGACTCTGCTTCTGATGCTCGTGTGAGAGACTCCCAGGCTCACTGGAGACCCCCTTCTCCAGGGGCATCTCCGAGGGGTGAGCGACGCTCCCACTCCCAGCCCGTTCTCCCCTGCTTCTCCCCTCCCCCACAAATCCCAGTTCAACCAGGATAATTTCTGACACGAATTCCGGAATTGGCGCACACAAATGTCGCTCCAGCTTTTGCTGCCTTCTGCTCAGGTGCACTGGTCTCCGCCTGCAAAGAGCAGCGAGCAACAGGACGCGGTCTTGCGGGGAACCCACGGGCAAATGTGGCCGGAGCCGTTTGCTGCGGTGTTTTCCTGGTGTGTGCAGCTCGCCTGCATTTTATCCTCCTGTCTGTAAAACCCCCGAGCACAAACAAAGCATTCTTCGTCTGATCATACGCCATATTTTCCCCCCACCTATTTGCCCTCCCACCAGCAGAGGCCCTCCTCTGGGAACCCTCTGTGAAAGACATTAGGAGGCAAAGTACCCGGAGAAGGGCCTTCTCTGCGGTGGCACCCCGACTATGGAATGCGCTCCCCAGAGAGGTCTGCCTGGCGCCATCATTATTCGCTTTTCAGCGCCAGGCCAAGACCTTTTTATTCAATGTTTTAATATGTATTAATAGTAGTTGCATTTTATTCTTTGTATTTTATTAATTACAGCCAGTGTGGAATAGTCTATTTATTTATTTTATTCTGATTTATGTTGTAAGCCATCCAGAGACGCAAGTAATGGATGACATACAAATTTTATAAATAAACAGATATTGCAGGCCAGCTCTTCTTCCGTGCTGCGTCTCTGATGAACGCCTAGGCTCCCGCCCACTTCCAAATAACACACAGATTATCAGGATAGATGGAAAGTAAAATAAAGCGATTGCTTTCTTCAGGGTCTTAAACATGCACACAGACGCCAGGGAGGCCGCGCTGTGTGGAGAGTCCCCATCGCAGCTTTGAAAGGAGACAAGGACTTTAGGAGCACAGCAATCGGGGAGGATTTCCCATGGGGAGAGTCTTGGGTAGCCTCTCTATAGGGCGGCTCCCCTGCGGGGGTCTTTCCAGCCCTACCCGGGGAGCGCCGGACACTGGTCTTGGGACCGCATTCATGCAAAGCCGCCTGCGCTGCTTCTCCGGGGCTTTCCCAGCCCATCCCGGAGGATTCCGGGTCAGATCTGGAAGCAGCTCCGCAGGCAGGGCCGTGGGGAGGTGATCCTGTGCAGTGGATGCCTTGCATTTGCTTCCTTCGCCCCTCGCGTCTGCGTGTGCCAGAAGCGCAGCATGGCCCTCGGGAGCTCGAGGACTCCGGCCGGGGGCAGGGAAGGGAGGGGAGGGGAGGGGGGAAGGGGCCCTCGTGCAGCGCCCGCCAGTTTGCCCAGCCTCGCTGTGGGATTAAATGGGATCCTTTCTCACAACTGTGGCTGATGGACGGCCTGAAACAGGAACTTCAACTTCCCAGACAAGGTTATTTTGGTAGCTCTGCGTAAACTTTCCCCTTTGGAAAATGTGACATGCTCTTATCCCTTTTGTATTTGCTCACCAAACACTAATTAAGGCATGTAATGAAGACAGGGGCGTCCATTAATAAAGAATAATTATGGAGCAGGATTAGCCAGCTTATCGGAAACAGGTGGTGGTGAGGCGTTTGTCTGCACGTTGGGCCCCAGGCATGAGCTAACGCACTCCAGCGCGTCCTGGAGGACCGGGATAATCCCGAGGACAAGGACCCACCCGTCCCCTGTCCCCAGACCGGCCTGCCTCCACCCCAGCTGCCTCCCTCTTTGATGCCTGGCTTTGTGGGACCGAAGGGCGGCTGCTGGCCTTGTGCGGACGAATCGCCAAGCAATCCCACAGCCAGTGGCCACCCCTTCCCCTCCCCTCCCTTCCCTCCCCATTTGCTTCTGGTCTTGCTGGTGGAAGTTGTCCTGCTTTTGTATTATTATTTTAAAGAAAACTCCTGTGTGGCAGAGTTTCTGGTTATGAATAATCCATGGTGCGATTATGAAAAACAGTTAAATGAGGTGAACGGGCGGGTCGATTTCCTTATGGAATCCCCAACGGCAAGATATATTTATTACAGTGTTTGCAAGACATCAGGCAAGGTTACAGGTAACACAGATGTCCTGAGCTGAAAGCTCAAAAGATTGGATCTGCATCTGAAAACCTAGCTTATGTGAGAGTTTGTAGTTTTTTGCTGCGGGCTTCTGTACAGCTACTTGGCAAGAAATCCTATTAAAAGTCAGTGGGTTTTACAAATAAGTAAAGGTGTACAGGGTCACCCTGCAATCTACTGTCTTGTCAATTAGGATGTGGCTTTCAATCTAGATTCTGATGGCCTGGAGGGAAGGCATGAACGATGGGAATGCTGGGGAAGGGCAGCCTGGGAATAAATTCCCGTGGATTCAGTAAAGGAACATGCATGGGACATGGGCTTGATCTGATGGCCTCAACTCCAAATAGATGCTTTTAGCCTTCAACGTGATTTAATAGACCGGGAGCTCTCCCAAGGGCAGGTCCCTGCGCTGCATTTTTGAGGCACAATGAAAGTTGATGGCACTCTATAAAAATAGCCACCCGTCATCGCTGCCCACCCCAACAGGTCTGCAGTTCAGGGAATCTGAGGGGGCAGTTTCTCAATCGGGGTGATGGGAGAGGGGGCTTTGATTGGAAGTGGACTGCTCGAACCAAACGAAGCTTGGCTTCAGGTTGATGTCTGAGTGGGCGTCCTGCGCTGAGCAGGGGGTTGGACCTGATGGCCTTCTCGGCCCCTTCCAACTCTACTATTCTATGATTAAAATCTCCTCCTCCTCCAGGAAACTGCAGTTGTTCCTTAGCATAGAACAGCAGAGAGTTGGACAGTCTTCCAGAAGAAGATTCACCTGTGGCCTGAAAACAGACGGGGCGCTCGCATTGCTAGCCTTTGCTTTTATTTAAGGGTCTGCACTGTGCCCACAGGGTCTGACTGCAGAGTCCCCCTTTTTCTATAACATTCGGCAGCGCTAGATCGCGCCTGGCTTCTTTTCTATACCAGCAACCCATTTCTTAGGTCCATGGATTGCATGTGCATTAGATTCTGTATCTATTTTTGTCCACTTAGGGAAGCAATTCACACCAAATCGGAAGACTGGCCCATTGATAAGCTCAGCTGTGGCTTGTTGCCTGCAGTCACTTTGAGACCACCAAGTCGGGCCATTCCTGGCTTGGAGAGGTTCTCCAGATGTTCAGCAGTCAGCACTATCCAGATGGAACTTGCACCTTCCACACGCAAACCACGAGCTTTCACTGAGCGGCAGTTTCCCTGGCTTCGTACAAGCCACACTGCAATATGGTTTGTGTAAACTGGGAGAAGCTGTCCAGGGTTTAGACAGCAGGAGTGTGTCTCTTTCCGCTGCCCTTGGATATGCTGGGGGTTCAGTCTGTGACCTTCCGCAAGCAAAGCTCAGGGCTCCTGCTGAATTTCATGCCCTCTCTGATTCTGTATGGCTTCAGTAGAAGTCACTTTGGTGGCTTCCGGTGGAGAATCTGCCGACACAATGAATACATTGAGCTGAGCAGAGATGGCCCTTCCTAGTGTCCGAAGCAAATTTGCACGTGCAAAGAAGCAGCGAGAAAAAATCATCAAATGTGAGGATGTTTTAATGGAGACCAAGGCCAAGGTCTTCCACATGATTGGATCCTCAATCACCCTGAATGGGTGCTGAAGCAGGACAGTGAAAAAAGTGGATGGGAAGAAAATGGATGTATTTGGAACATGCTGCTGGAGGAAAACGTTGTGAATGCCCTGGACCAAGTGAAAGATGAATAAGTATGTGGTTAGGGAGCAGATCAAGCCAGAGTTTTCCCTAGAAGCAAAAATGGCAAAGCTGGAGCCATTCTGATTTGGGCACATCTTGAGAAGGCCAGAAGACTCCCTAGAGAAGACACTCATGCTAGGGAAAGTGGAAGGCAGAAGAAGAGGAAGGCCAAATGGGAGAGAGATGGACTCCATCCAGGAAGCCGCAGCCGTGGATGATAGGAGCTCAGCAGGACTGTCCTGGACAGGGTATTTTGGATGGTGTCCATTCACAGGATTGCCCTAAGATGGGGACAACCTGATGATGCACAACAATGACAAATCAGAGCAGCTATTTTAGTAAGATTTGGATGTGTTGGGGGCCTGGCTGGTCCATCAGAATGGGGTCGTGTGCTTAACAGAGCAGTGAAATTAGCTCCCTCCCCTTAAGGCACCACCTTTGAACGATGGGCATCTTCTCTTCTGCTCCTGTTTAATATTTCCCTGAAGTAACAGAGTAAGCGTTTGAGCAAGAATTTAAAGCTATCATGTTTTGAATAGGGAGGAGTCGGCTGCCACTCCCATAGGTGGAAGCTGTAAACAGGGAAAGAAGAGGAGGAGGAGGCAGCAGCGGCGACATGGCTAACCAGCACCATCCAAAATGGACCGGCTCACCCGCTCTCTCCGCCATGGCTGCTCAGATGGACCAGGCCTCAGAACTGGGTGCAGAAAATCTCTCCCCAACAGGTGCAGCAAGAAAAACAATGGAAACTCTATTCATAATCATTGAAATGGCTGCCCATTTCCCTTCTTTTTCAAGGCAAACGGGAGTCGATCCCAGAGGGCCTCTGCCTGGTGCACAGGGACCAGCCTTTCCCTGCTGGCAGACACGAACCCCGGCCAATGACAAACTCAGCCCAGATTCAGCCTTGATTCCACCACCGAACTTTTCCTGGAGCCGAGCGCCCTTCCCCGACGCTCCAAATTGTTTTCTTCCTCCCACGAAACTCCTTGATCTTCTTGCCAAATGCAGTGGGCGAACAGCTGGCTGACACTGGCCGGTGGTGGGTTGAAATGTGTGACCGGCTGGCTGCTCCCAGGAGCTGACCGGCTTCTTCTGCTTCTGGAGGCGTGAATCACCCCGTGGCCTGCCCCACTTTGTGGGGGGAGACAGGCGAGGGCCATGGGCAGCCCTGGACTGCCGGGCTTCCCGTTTCCTGCTGCCATTTTTTACCCAAAACTTCGCAGTGCCAAGAATGGCTATTTTGAGTCATTGCTGGGCACAAATATTCGTAATTCCAAAGCAGAAATGGACAGATGTGGCAGGGTCTTTGGGGAAGTTTCGGCGCCCCAGACAAACTGTCCCAAGCTTCTTCCTTACCCTGATGTTTGGCAGGAGCAGAAGGGGGAGAGTGCCGGGCAGAGAGGGGGGGACGGTGTGGAGATATTTTTTGCTGAATCGCTTGGATGGAGGGCAACCGCATTGGACAAAAAAGAGGTCGTTTACCATTTAAAAAACAGGACTAAAGAGGGCATCGATTTATATAGACTTTGCATTTTTTTGGCGACGCAAACTTGGAATTACCACTTAGATTTCAATTAACAATCCAGTTAATTTCCTGTCCAAATGATATTTCTCTCCAGTCTTACATTAATTAGCACCACAGTTCAGACCAGCCTTTAGTTCGGTGAGTGAGAGGCAGTATGGTGTTGTTGTGAAGAACGCAAGCCTGGGACTCTGCAGATCCGGGTCCTAGTCCCCACTCAGCCATGGAGCCCACTGGGTCGCAGACTGTCAAGCCAACCTACCTTCCAGGGTTGTTGTTCTGCAGATAGGCCAGAGTGCAAGAGGAGGAGAATGACGAAAGCCACTTTGAGTTGCTTAAAAAAGAAAAAAGGCGGGATATAAATCTAATAAATAAACTTTAAAAAACGGACTTGCTGCAAGATCAATGTCCCTCCGATGAATGACCTCTTCAGTGCAATCGTCCGTACCGTTGTCCTGTCTCCCCAAATTAATTTAAGTGTGTCATGGGGAGGGGTGCTTTGCAATTCCTTCTGGTGGGGGTGGGGGGGTTCTTGGTGAGGATGCAAGCCAGCCACGTGGCTCCTTTCTCTTTAAGCGAATGCAAGCCAGATGGGGAATGTCGGGGGGGGGGGGGGGGCTCCGCCCATGGCCTGGAGGTGACCCCTCCCGTTTGATGTATTCATTTGTTGCATGTCTATATCATACAGGAGCCAAAGGGCCGCATTTCACAATGGGGGATTTGGGAGAAAAAGGGAAGAACAAGGACAATTATACCAAGCGATTTCGAAACAGAGGAAATGCCACAGGGGCTGCAGAAATGCCCCGGGTGCTGCTCTGCACTGGAAAAGTATGGAACAATGTCTCTAAGGTTTATGTAGACTCCACAAACAAGACCCTGGCAGAAAGCTGTCTTGCATTCTGTTTGGGTTTTGGAAGAAAACTGCTGGAAACCCAGCCAGATTTCTCCTCTGGAGCCCTCTGGAGCGGTCTGCCCCTGAATTTCAGAAAAACCATTTTTGGGGGCTGCAGGGACAGCGACTGGCGATGGAGGTAGCCCCTGGGGTTGCCCATCTCGGATCGAATTCTTGGCCCAACACGTACTCTGCAAATCCAGTCCAACCTCTACTTTTTGCCTCTGTTCCAGAAAGCGAGACCACAGTCAGATGCTTCTCACGTCCTCTCCAAGACGCAGGAGTCGGAATCTGCGGGTGCTGTCATCTGATGTGTTAATATCTGGGTAGGTAGCATGGCAGCTTTGGTGCCCCTTTACTTGCAGGCATGTTCCCCTGTGCTCAGAAAAGACCCTGCTGATGCCTTTTTCCCCCAAGGTAATGACTTACCAGGGCCAGAAGCATCCGAAGCTCCCCTCTGCCCCGTTTCCCGACCTCATGTGCATTCAGAAGTTAGTAGGGGTGGTAAGAGGCTGGAGGCGAATGCTGCTTGGGAGTCCTCTGGGGAAGCTGAGCCCCGAGCTGTGAAAGCCAAGAAGGCCAGTGCATCGGTGTGCGTCTGTGTGGGGAAGGCAGAGCAAGAGTGGGGGGGGGGGCACTCACGAAACAGAAAAGAGCGACTAGGATGGGTGGAGCAGGTGCGTGCGGAGGGTGTGGGGCGAGAGATGGTGATCCTGGACACAAGAGGGGGCTCAGGCCCCACCCAGGCCTAGTGTTTGGCTGCTTGGGCAAGCACCTTGTATTTTGGCCTCCCCAGCTTGCCATTCTGTGAAATGGGTGTTTTGCGACTTGCGATTACTGCTGGGGCGTCCCATTGGAGAATATCTGAGGGCCCAGCGACCTTGGACTTCCTTCTTTTGGAACACAGGCAGGACTTTCAAATTAGTATTCCATTCAAGCTGCTGAGATGCCACAAAGTCCTTGTCTAGTTTCTCGGTTGGTGTATCTTCCGAGCCGTGCCTGGTAGAACTTTTGAGAATTGTGTCCGTGATGCTGATGTTCCAGGGTATTGTGGTACCCCCAGAAAGGTTCGCTCCAGCCACAAACCCTTGGAAGGACTCTTTGCCAGAGAAGCTGAGAAAGTCCCAGTGAGATGGCAAGAAAATGTTATTGCAACTGGAGAAAGACAGCACTTAGATCCAGCAGGTGAAGGGGGAGGCCAAGCTTGTAGAGGGCAAACTTCCAAGGATTACCAAGGCACTGCCCCACTGCCCCAGGGGGAGGGGGGCAGAGAAACATTGCCAAAACTGCTACACAGTCCACACCAAGGAAGGCGACAGAAAAATGACTATCCCAAACCTGCCACGGATGCCGGATTTTGGAACCACATCTCCATCCAGGTTGACCGGTGGAAACAACTCTGCCAGATTTCCAAAATTTAATAGGCAAACCTTCCTCAACTTTTGCTGGAAGAGTGAAGGCAACATTTGCGTACACACTCACGCACGCACGCACACGCACACAAACGCACGCACGCATACAACCATGCCCTCAGTGCTGGTCAATTCATTATGCAATGCATCTCTCACTTCGCATAGACTTCCTAATGTCTACCTTCAATTGGCTTCAACCAAAATACTACCTCAGGATAGACAATCTGTCCGTCTTGACTTTGCTCGGTTTCAACCTTCTCCAGCCTTGCATTTGTTCTGTCCCATTTCCAGTTTGCAACATTTTTAAGCATGTGCACTTGTTCACGTTTCCATGTGTGTTTCTCCTAAAATATGCATTTTTGAAAGCCATTTTCCAGCACAAAGTCTGTTCTTGTCCGTTCCACTGTTTTTGTACCTTCGGCAAATATCCGAATGTTGTGTGTATTTCCCCCACGATGTGCACATTTTTGTGAGCCGGTTTTGGCTAGTGAAATAAATGCATTGCAAAATTCAGAAAAGAGCCGCAATGGAAACAGGGCTGCATCTCGGCTCACATACTGCTTTCGAAGTGTGAATTAAGTTCACATTAAAATGAGAACCAAATGAATTTCCCCCCCCTTGCTCACTGCCCACACGCTGTTGTTTAATTTTCACTAAGGTTACATCAGATCACAAGTATGTGATAGACAACTTCTCCGCAGACCATCAGCAGGCTGGGTAAGAGACCACACAGCTGGCGCTCTCCTGACATGCTGGCTTTCTATCTGCAAGGCTTTGTTTGCTTATTTATTTAGGAACATTCGGTCACGTAAGCCCACGCTTCCTGTCTAGAACAGTGCTGACACATCTACTGAGAACTAGGTTTTTGAAATGTTGTGTTAAGGGATAGAAACTTGGTGGGTTTTTTTAAGAGGCTGCAAGGGAGCCGAGATTCCTTCTTAGGGGGCTGAATGCTGTGGTCTGTTTCCTTCTTCTGTGCTGGAGTGGAATCGAGGGACACACAGATGCAGCTTTGCGTCCTTGGGAATTGCAGCGTTGGGTGGTGCAGCGCCACTCAGCGTAGCCCCTGAGCTTATGGCAAAAGCTGGGCTCAGCAGTGGTGTCTTGTCATGTGGGCAAGGAGGGGGCACTTGCTAGGTAGGTGCCGGCCTGGCCTGGTCTGGCCAGGTGTCCTTTTTTACAGTCCTCTATTTGCAGGGCTGCCAGGGTGAGCAAGAGAGGTCGATGGTTGAGCCGATGGTTCCGTCTTCCTGGCAGAGAGCAGCAGTGACTTGAAATGACTTCTGATGAAAGCAAAAGACGACTGGAGCAGGGCTGGAGCTGAACATCCAGAAAACAGAAATCATGACTACAGGAGAATTACACAACTTTACTGTCAACAATGTAGAAATCAAAATGGTGAAAGATTTTGTGTACTTTGGCTCAGTCGTCCTTTCAAAGGAAGACTGCAGCCAAGAAATCTGAAGACGGCTGAGTCTTGGAAAGGACGAGAAAGGATTGTCAAGCTTCAGTGGAAGGACTAGAAAAGATCATAAAGCGTAAGGATTTTTTACTGGAGACAAAGGCCAAGATCATTCACACAGATTGATATCCAATCACCACATTTGGCTGTGAAAGCCGGACAGTGAGGAAAGCTGCCGGGGAGAAAATCGATGCATTTGAAACATGGTGCTGAAGGAGAGCTTTATGAATTGCTCGGACCACCAAAAGATGAACAAGGGGGTCCTGGATCAGACCAAGCCAGAGCTTTCCCTAGAAGCAAAAGGGACGAAGCGGAGGCACATCCTGAGAAGGCCAGAAGACTCCCTGGAGAAGAGCATCATGCTGGGAAAGTGGAAGGCAGAAGGAGGAAAGGGCACTCAGACGGGATGGGTGGACTCCGTCTTGGAAGCCTCGGCCTTGAATTGACAAGAGTTCAGCAGGGCTGGCACAGATGGGATGTCTTGGAGGGCTGTTGTTCGTAGGGTTTCCATAAGTTGGCGATGAGTTGATGGGATGCAACAGCACCACCAATTTATATCCCACCTTTCTTCCTCTTGGAAGGAACCCAAGGTGGCTTAAAACATTCTCTTCTTCATTTTAACCTCAGAACAACAGCCCTGTGAGGTAGACCTGAGCGGAGTGGCTGTGACTAGCCCAACGTCACCCAAGCACTGGGGGAGGACTTTAGCCTGGATTTTCGGAGTCCCAGTCAGCACTCTTAAGTGTACCATACTGGTCCTTGTTGCCACTGTCAGGGCTGCAAGTTTTTCTGAAACCATCCAAGAATCCCGGGGAACCATAAATATTGACCAGGTCATCAGCTTTCACAGAATGGATCCTGTTTGTTCAGCTTTGAAAAATCTGAGCAAACAGAATCTGTAAATGTTCTCAGAGGGCCTTGGCCAAGGAGACGGGTGTTGAAGGAAGTGCAACATCAAAAAAAGGAAACCCAGAGGCTGCTTTCTCTCCAGTTTACCCTCACAACAACCCTGCAGGGCAGATTAGGCCGAGAGCCCCGGATTGGACCAAATTCACCCAGTGGGCTTCACAGTCAAGCGGAAACTAGAACCTGGATCTCCCCAATCCCTGCCCAACACTTGACCTACAACAGCAGTGTGATTTTCTGTCTCACGATGTTCCAAAGCAAAGGGCCCACAGGGGAATGGAGTTCAGCACTACGGACAGTTCCAGGAAAGCTTTGAATAAAAGCTTCAATGGGTAGAGAGTCCCATCCGCACGAGGTTCACCGGCCTCCCTTTCAGCCCTTCCAGAGCTAGCAAACAAAATCTGAAAGACAAGGCCATCTGAACTTTTTGTCATCCTGAAGCTTAGATCACCTCTGAACAGCTTCATTTCATTCAACCACTGAGGCTAATTTCTCTGGCTCAGAGTAAGATTCAAGGGCAAATACTGGGAAGGGAAACATGTTGAGGCTTCCTTTGTGATAGCAATTGAAAGCCTTGTGGCCTCTCCACGTACATTACTCTTTTCCAGGAACTTAAAGAAGCATGCATGCAGTTTTTCCAGGAACTTAAAGAAGTGTGACCTGGAACCCAGGTCAGAAGCATGCAGGAACTTAAAGAAGCTTCCACACTGCAACCCTTGGAACAAGTCCAAGGTCACTGCAGGCTTTGTGGCTGAAGCACTCCTAAACTGGGGGACTAAACGGTGTGCAGAACCTCAGTTCAAACCCAGGGTCACTATAAGCCCCACCCGCTCCTGGACCCCAGCCCTCCAGGGCTTCTCTGAAATGGAAGGAGGCCCTCTGGCGGAGAGGAGGTCTTCAGCCCCTTCTACACACTACATCCGCTTAGCGGTAGCCTAAGTTAAATCGTAACTTCAATATTTTGTAAGTCCACTTATAAATACACCATGGTATCTTCACAAGCCTTAAAAGAATTCCCTTGGATGGAAAGCAGAGACATTCCCCGGCCAAAGCTGGGAAGTGTTATGCTCTCTGGGAGAGCGTTTCCTTTAAGTTGAAGCCAGCTGGCAACAAGGCAACCTGCACAAAAGGCAACATGGAAACCTGCAACAACACGACCCGCAACTCTCCGAACAGGTTCTGCTTGTGTCCTGGGTTCCAGCTGGATATCCCCTCTAAGCAGGCACTTCCCCCACCCCAGCCCCCAAATCTCTGTCCCTTCTGCACCCAACAGGCCACTCTTCTATGGCCTCCTATGAATCCCCCAAAAGGCAGGCACCAAAGAACTTTGACTGTGGGGTGGTGTAGACATGTGAAAAAGCCCAGTAATGACACATTCAAGTGTACAGGGATAGATGCAAGTAGAGGGGATTGTTAGAATCCAGACAGAACCCCATCCTTCCTTCCGAAGTGGAGGGGACCTTCTCAGCCTGCTGCCTGGGTGTTTACTTTTCAAGGGGAACAATTCTCTGCATTCTTCATCCTTAAACTAGAATTGGGCAGCAGGACTGCCTTCTAAACCGAGGACTGTCCTCTGTAAAAA